GTTTTTGGAATGTACTCGTAGTTGATTCCTCTCTGATCCGCATTGTAGATTTCTTCAATATCTTCGGTTGCGATCAAGTTGCGTATGCGGCTGCTGAGCTCTGCCAACGCAGCTTGACCGCGTTCTAGGTTGGACTACCCAGATCTTGCCTTCGCTCACATAGTTAGCTTCCAGCGCTTCATAGAACTCATAATCGAAGGTTGGCTAGCTTTGAACACGTGTACCTTGAGCCCAACGTCTATTGCCACTTCTAGCGCCATACATTGCAGTAAGAAACGACTCACGGGAATTCCGTCTGAACGAAGATCGTTTATCCACTTGACAATATGTTCTTCGTGCTCTTTAGCCAGCGTAGTTGCAGTGACGATGAGGCGTGAGTTCTTTTGCGACGCGGTAGCAGGTTACTAGCTTTCTTCGTTATATGTGCGCGGTTGCTTTCCCACCGAAGCACGTTTTTTTTTGCGGACAGTCGTGTAGTCCCTTGAATCCCGCCAAAGAAGCGGTCAAGTGTGGAGTCCATAGAGGTTCTTTTCTCCAATTGTTAATGTGAAGCCGCATGGCGTATGTAAAGTACTAGTACAGTCTTTGGTGCTGTGGGGGACCAATACGTCTGCGGTTTTTGACCACAGGTCTTCCCATCGCATTTCGGTGCGGTGTGGAGTTGTCGGTGACATGCTAACTTTCGCGCCACCTTGGAATTCAAATATATACTCCTTAAACCTGATATTTACTATATTCCAAAGGCACCTCAAGTGAGCAGGGAACTTCTTAATTCAATATATGCCATTATAGAATTATGTAGGTCTTTTTCATTCACACATGACAAATGCGGTAAAGGAACCACCACAGGTTACACCATCTTTCGTCGTGACGAGGGCTGTCGGACACCCCTTTAGGCAGATCCCTACCAATTGGCCCTCCCGCACGACACTGGGGGAGGAGCCGGATGGATCGAGTAACCCCTGTTGTCGGACAGTCAGGGTTGGAGCGTCCCCCTCACGTGACTGCCTCGGTCACAGGCTGAGAGGCCAGGCCCTATGCTCCCTGGTGATGGGCGAAGGGGTCGAAGGGCTACAGCTGCAGGACCCGTAGTTGACTGCGCAGAGCGCAGACCGTATAGAGGACTCGGAACGTTTGTTGTTCGACGAGTTCATTGAGGAAATGGTAACGCACATCAATGTGCTTGGTTCGACCATGATGTCCAGAGTTATTGACGATCTGGATGGCACTCTGATT